TTACACAGCACCCACACTCGAGAGCCAGGCTTGGATATATGTTAACTCGGAGCGTGCCTATACCATTAAATCTTGATTTTAGAGTGCTGGGGGCAGGCGGGGGTAGCTAATCAAAAGAGGCCCCACAGAATATCCGACGCAGCAGCGGGAGAGACACCCCCACAGGACAGCGAGCGGCTCGAGAGGAGGGGGCACCCTCCGAAAGTATCTGTTCGCAGCGGCGGGGCCCCGTGTGAGGCCCGAAACATAAAAGGCCGAGAGGTGCCTGACCGTGCCTCGGCCCACGGTCGGGCCAAAAAGCCTCGCGGCGAAACCCCCAGTCCCGTCATCACTAGACTGGCACTTGTGCCTTCACGCTTCCAGCCACAGCTAGACACGAGCGCGGCACACATTCGGGAGGGGGGGAAAGGGAGATAATTTGTGTCGCTCTCACCCACCAAAAAACCTGCTTTATATTTTCCCCATATCTATCAAATGTTCAAGGAAGACAAGTGGAGGACAGGGTGCACGCGCCCAGATCTCGAGGCTCCTGCATTCATATCAAAAGATATGGCCCCCGCAAAAGGCGGGGCCTGAAATGAGGGTGGGGGCTGCAGCAGCCTGCTCATTGCCGTCTGGCCCTGGTACGGCCAGCAGTGGACGGGCGGCTGGCGGGCTCCGCGCCCCCGTCCGCCATGCTCTCCAGCTGCGGCAGCACGACCTCGTCGTTCTTGGCTGCCCCGAGCTCGTGCACCATGTCCCGCGCCAGCGGGGCCAGCACAGCGTCGGAGCGGTAGATGGCCTCAGAGATCTGCTGGGCCGGCCTGCGCCAGAAGGCCCTCCCCCGCTCAAGCTGCGCGGGGGTGAGCCGGCTCCGCTGCTCGATCAGCACGTGCACTTTCGTGTAGCGCTGAAGGGCCGACGTGGTCTGCCAGCGGCCCTTCCGGCGCGCCGCCTCCAGCGAGCCGCCTGCGGCGATGTAGGCCGCCGCCCCCGCGTGCCTCAGCGAGTGCGGGGGCCCGAAGTCCGCCAGGCCCGCCCTGTCGAAGGCCAGCCTCCACGCCTTCCTGTACTTGTCCTGCGAGATCGGGAAGAGGAGGTCCCGTGGCGCCGCGCCCTTGCCATCGCCCGTAGGATGGCCTTCGTCACCTGCCACGAGACCACGACGCCCTGGCTCGCTCCCGCCTTCACCTTCTCGCCCCGCTCTCTGCGGCCCAAGGTGAGCCCGACCTCCCCGCCGGGCCCCACCGCCACGTCCGTCTTCCTGAGGAGGCCCCAGTCCTGCTCCCTCAGCCAGCCGTCCAGCTGCAGCAGCACCGCGGCCCCCTCGTACAGCTGGCCGTGCTCAAAGAGGTCGTAGAGCACGCACCCCACAGCTTCGAACGGCACCGGCGCCCCCTCCTTCTGGAAGCCCATCCTAGACCAGGACTTCAGCGCCCTGGCCGCGACGGGGAGCCGATTGCGGTGATCCTCGAAGATGTGCATGAAACCATTGAACAACGCAGACGCCCTGCCGAAGGGCAACTGCATCACGTAGCACATGTCCGATATGTACCCGCCAAGCGCCGCATCCCTTTCCTCGTAAGTGGAGAAGGGGAGCCCGTGCCGCTTCACGTCCAGGAGAAAGGTCCTCACTTCCTTCTCGTAGATCTGATTCGTGGCGTCGTCCACGGCGTGCACCACGAGCCTCACATTGTGGTGCAGCTTGTCACTCGGGGCCTGCTCCCAGGCCCGAGCGCCCCTCTTAGCCAGAGGGGGGGGCTTTGCAGAGGTCGTAGCGGGGCCGTCCACCCCACGCCGCGGCATCGCTTCGCACAGCGTCAGCCCGCTCATCATCAAATGCGAATCTCCAGGCGGTCCTCGTCGGGCCCGATCTTGCAGCCGCTGAAGTAGCTCCTTCGGCACCCCACGGCCCACGTGGCCCGCCACTGTGTCCTCCGCCGCGCCTATGCCTTGACCTCTCGAGGGGCCGTCTGCCAGGTTGAGCTCGCTCGGCACCCACCTGAAGTACCCGCGGATCCTGCAAACCATCTGGATGATGCCGCCGATCCTCGCCAGGTGCAAGAGGTCCTTGGCAGACGAGCGCCCCTTCTTGAGGACGCCTAGGCTCACCAACGAGTCGGTGAAGAACAGCACGCGGTGATTCCAGCTCTGGGACGTGCGACTGAGGTGTCGGAGCACCGCCACCACCGTGCGCAGCTCCAAGACATTGTTGTGCTCTGCGTGAGACCAACGTCCCTGAAACAGCACGTGCCACTTCTTCTCCAGCCAATGGCCCAGCAGAGGCAGGGCCGGCCCAGTCGCTCGCACGACGCGCCCGCGGTCGCCCTGCAGACGAAGCCGGGCCCCCGCTGGTATCGAGTCCCAGTGCGGCTCGAGCTCCTGCAGAGTGGACGCGTATGCCCTGCACAACTCCAGCGGGTAAGCACATGCCACCTGAGTCCACCGTAGCCCACCTGGTGATCGTCCTCGTAGTTCTCGGTGAGCCGGCCAGTCCGACTGCATCGGCTCGAGGGGCACAAGCACACCCGCTGTAGCGTCGCCATCTTCTTCACGTTGGTGATGAACGTAGTTGGCTTCCTCCATTCTTCGCCATACATGCAGTAATCCACCTCCACACGGAAAACCCCCTCGAGATCCAAGAGCGCGGTCATTGGCGCGAACGCCCATATCATGCTGGTCCTGGGGTTCTCGAGGGTGAATCCAATGCCAAGGCGTAGGCAGATCTTGACCACCTCTACTGCTATCAAAGCCAAAGCGTTCCCTTCGTCTATCTTGGCCTGGTCCGTCTCCGCGCAGTCCGGCAGCCCCCACGGGTGATCGCTCGACCTCAGCGGCGGCTGCCTTGCTCTCGAAAACGTCGCGCACGGGGGGGCAACATGCACCCACCAGAACCAGCCAGTCCTCACTCTCCGTAACAACAGCTCCAAGTTCTCTGTGACCAGTACGTCGAACTCCACGCCCCGCTGGATGTCCCAGGCCTCGCCCCACGAGTCGGTCATCTCCCTGATCGCCTCCAGCAAGCGAGAGCTCCCAGCGAAGAGCTCCAACACCCCAGGTCGCCCCGTAGTGGGAGCGGCCGGGAGGTCCTCCTCCTCGCCGATCGCCTCCTGCGCCCGCTCGATCTCGGTGTAGCTCTGCTCGGCCAGGGGTCCCCAAGCTCCCCCATCTCCACGGGCAGCTTCTCGTCGGACGTCCTCCTCCGTGCAGTCGCAGGCCAGGGCGCCGAAGCCTTCGTTGGACGCATCCGTCATGTATGCTCTCGGCCACCAGCCCATCTCCAGGTTCGACTCCATGTAGACCGAGAGGGACGCGACGGCCCTCAACTCGCTCCTGACCTCCTCGGGCAAGCGGTGCGGCACAACACTCTCCTCCTCGGTGAACTCCCTCAGCCACCTGTAGGTCGCGTCCAGGATCGCAAACGAGGGGCGGAAAACCATCATGGTCCAGGTCCAGTGCCCGACCAGAGAAGCCACCGCCGAAGGTCTCAGAGCCACTTCCAACACCGCCACCTCGGTAGCCAGCACGACCTGCTCCATCTTCTTCGGCTGGATCCTCAGCGTGTAGGGCCTCGTGGCGGCGATGCACAGGCCCAGGCCGTTCTCCATCCCTTCTCCCCAGGCCTCCTTGTGCACCGCGAGCCCCTTGCCGTTCAGAAGCTCCTTGATCATCTCCTTGTCCTCCAGGATCTTCAGCTCGCCGTCCTCGCCCTCGAGGGTGAAGCCGATGTAGTCGTCGATGTACAACATCAGCAGGAACCTGATCGCCTCCTCCTCCGATAGGCCAAACGACGGGGTGGGCTTGCCGTAAGTCAAGCTGGGGGCCTTCAGGGACTCGAAGCTTGCCTCCAGGCAGCTGTGGGCCAAGAACACCGCCCACGCCGAGCCCATGACCAAACTCGAAGCCCCAATGCCAACGTCCTCCTCGCGCGGCTTCGGCAAAGCCACACCCTGCGCCATCCCGCACTGGTACAGCTCCTGCGGCGAGACATCCTCCACCACAAAATATTCCGCCAAAAACGAACCCCAGTGCAACCGATAGAACCAGTCCGGTACGTCGCCCTGGAAGGAGAAGAGCCGCCGTCCACGCAGCACCGCCTCGTCCAGCTCTAGGAGCGCGAGGCCCGCGGGACTGCCCAAAGGCACCCACGGGGGATCCACGAAGAGCAGGTTGACTCTTCGGCAGTCCCAGATCAGCCGCGACTTCACAATGCCACCAGTCTTGGGGTCGAAGTCCTTCGCCACCGTGAACAGCCCGACATGTTCGCGTACCCTCGTCACATATGTTATCATTCCAGCCTGCGCCATCCGCAGGGCAAGTGCCAAGCGCTCCTTCTTGCTCCGCCACGCCGGGTCCGAGTAGCTCTTTGTCGCCTCGTACTTCTCCCAGTCGACTTCCCCCGAGCCCTTGATCATCAGCTGGCCGGCCTCTGTGAGGTACCGCCCAGCGAGACTCGAGATCGCCGCCACCTCCAAACTCTGGGTCCCCGGCGCTGGGAGAGACACCTGCTCCGCTCTCAGAGGGCACAGGTCGCCCTTCCTCAACTGCGGTGAAGCCTTCGATGCCGTAGACGTCGTAGGCCTCGCTCCCTTCGCAAAATACTCTGTCGGGCTTCCTCCTGCCAAGCGGCTCAATGCCGCCCTGCCGTCGTTGATGGTCCCCCACTTCGCCCTCGCGGCGTGAAGGTCCCAGGCTTCCGTCACCAGTCTTTTCTGTAGCGGCGTACTCGCACTCCAGTCCGTCTGGCACGTCTGCTTGTCCGTCAGGGTCGATGGATGTATCCAACCATTCGAACAGCCCGTCGCCATACTCCTGATCGCCGCTATCGTCCTCGAAGTCCGCTGCCAGGTTGTCCTCAGCTCCTTCTCGGACAGGCTCGCACTCGACCTCCTCGACTGTAGTGAGCATGGGAGCCCAGGCAGACTCCTCAAGGGATCCCTCTCTCTCAAATCCTTCTCCCCAGTAGGCATCTGGGACCACCGAGCGACCTGCGCTCCGACGTACGGGAAAACCTGCTCGCCACAGAACGGCGCGAGGCCCCAAGTACAAGAAAGGCCTCGACGCTCCGACGCCGCCGTGGAAGACCCCACAGCCGATCGCCAGGAAGCTCACCAGCCCGATGTAGCACCACCACCCGAAAGACGTGTCCAGCAAGAAGCTCGGCACGAAAGCGGCTCGCCGCCGCGGCCGTGGTAGAGGGGATTGACCCCTCAGGCCTTGGCCAGAGCACACCACGATAGCTCCGGCCGCAACCTATTCGTCCTCGCCGGCAGGCTGCCCCGAGCGCACCTCACCCAGGTGCTTGCTGAGGATCGCCCGCCGCCTGAGCTTCTCCAGCACCTCGTCGTCGGCCCCCCTGTTCTCGCTGTTGGGGTCCCCGTCGAGGCGCAGGTACTCCTCCGCCAGACTCCAGTCGACCTTGGAGCGCCACTTGCCGCCGTGCTGCGCCTTAGGCCTCTGCCAGTCGCTCTTGCACTGCACCCGCTCGTAGGCCTTCCAGATCGAGTACAGGCGCAGGCAGGTCACCTCTGCGGCCTGCGAGTTGATCAGCTCGTCGTACTGCCCCTGGCTCATCATCCTGTCCAGGACCAGAGCCAGCATGTTCAGCTCCTGCGCGATGCCTGCGCCCTGCAGCGCCTTGGAGCGGAGCCACTCCTGCGTCTCCACGCGTGCGCTCCGTCCGCCCTTGTAGAGCCTCGCCAGCACTGTCGGCGCCACGCGGGCCCTGACCCCCCCCACTGGGGAGCCTGCCACGCGGCGATACTTCTCCAGCGTCGTCAGCAAGCTCTCCTTTGGGTTCTTCGACTCCTCCTTCAGCTGCACGATCTGGTCCTTCAGGGGGTCATCGAGCTCGCCCAGGTCTCCAACCTTCTCCCAGGATGCCGCACTCGAACTCGGCGTGGGCGACCCTGCCTGCGCCCGGGTGCTCAAGCCCGAGTCCCGCTGCACCAGCTCCTCGTGCTCCGTCAGCTTCTTGATGAACGCATCCACCTCGGCCGAGCTGGGGTCGTCTCCTCTGGACGGCGGCGGCCCCGCGGGGGGCGGGGGAGGCGGGCCTGGCTCCGACGCCAGAGCCCCACTGCCGCAGGCAGGTCCTGCTCCCGCTCCGCCCCCAACATCCAGTCTCGACTTCAGCATACCCACAGCGTCGGCCAAGTCAGACTGCCCTCGAGCCAACTCCGCGAACAGGGTCTTGGTGTCCCGCTCGTCGCCACTCACATCACTCACGTCATCGCCAGCGTGCACCGACCCGCCGTCCGAGTCCGTGCCCGAGTCGCTGTCCGAGTCGACCTCCTTTCGGCACGAGCATCCGTATGTCCAGACCGCGTAGATCACAATGAGAACGCAGCCCAGCTCGAGGTCGCCCGATTCGTACAGCTCCCCCAGGAACTCGCGGAAGTTGTCCAGGTCCTCGATCGCCTGCATCCCCGCCGAGACGGTGTGGTACCCTGCGGCGAAGAAGGACCCGAGATGCAGCCAACGCCACAACCTCCAGCCCACAAAGAACACCGCTGCAGCACCACCCCACGTCTTGTGGGCCCACGCCGTCACCACGGTGGTCACGAGGCCCTTGCCGAACCAGGACGCCACCTTGGCCTTCGAGCTCGCCTTCTTGCCCTTCGTCAGGTTGGCCTTGGCGCTCTCGGCACCAGCCTGTCCCAGCTCATGTCGCACAATGAGCCGCTCCGCGGCTATGATCGCCTGCTCCCTCTCCTTCTCACTCAGCCCTGGGTGCTCGGTCCAGGTCACGCCCTTCTTCGGGCGCGGCAGCATCCTCGCCTTGTCCCGCAGGCTGATGATCTGCACCCGTTTGGCGGGGTCGATCGCGGTCCAAACCAACGAGGTCCCTGGACCGACCCGACTCACCAGCAGCATCACCACCCCCGTGTTCCTCCCCTGCGTCTGGACGTAGACGCGGTTCCACCTGCTCCACGGCGCCATGAACCCTGCTGGCGACCCTCTCCACTCGGCGCCACCCCCGAGGTCGAGGGGCTCGATGAGGACCTCCTCGGACTCCCGCTGGCGCCCGCCGAAGACCTCCAGCAGCCCGTCCAGCTCGCAGAGGGCGAGCGCGGTCACCAGCAGCCAGCCGGGACGCCCGATGGCCGGCGTCGTGGCGGCGCCCGAGCCTGGCGGGCTCGGGGCGAGCAGGGGCTGGAAGCTTCCCCTCTCTGAAGGCTCGAGTGCGGGCCTCGCCCGCGAAACCCACGCCTCGAGCCGAAACTTTGCGCCAGGAGAGGAGGGCCAAGCACGAGAGAGAATGCGCTAGTCCTCCTCTTAATTTGCAGTTGAGGCGGCTATCTGAACGTTTACAGGGGGTGTGTAAAAGTGTGTTTAAAAACGCGTAAGGCATCGAGCCCGTTGTTGATCCAGGGCCTGGAGAGTTGCCGTTCTCGATGTCCTCGTGCGTGGTGCTGGCCAGCTGCCCACCTGGAAGCTCTCGACGTCGATGATCAGGAACTTCCGAACAAATATAAAAAGCTCCACTATTTCACACAATTTTGCTTCATCAATTTTCTCTTGCTTTAAGTCAAGTGTGCGGTATGTGATTTTGAAAAAGCGTATGCGTGGGGTGCGGTATGCGGTATGTTGTGTATACTATGCATATGCGTCCCCCAGGTCAGTGTTGCCTGCGTTGGGCCTTGTCAGTTCGCGCGCCCCGCTGGGTCCGTAGCCCAGCCCTCTGGAACGACCTGGCTTTCTAAGTCGGGCCTGTCCCCCATACAGGGGGCCTTTGGACGAAAACTACAACATGGCCAAGAAAATACCCTCAAGTACCTAGAAATGGTCCACAGAATCGTCCCCAGACTTATTTTGGTTTTAAACAATTTTTGCATCTGCCCCCTGCAGAGGGACAGGCCCGACTTAAACCTTTGGCTGCAGCTCCCATGGGGCAGATTCCCCCTGCAGAGGGGCAGGCCCGACTTACACCTTTGGCTGCAGCTCCCATGGGGCCCGTGGGCCTGTTCCCACCCCGGCGGCTTCGGCCGCCCGGCGGCACGCCGCCTTCCAGTGAAGGGCGGGCATGCAGCCTGCACGCAGAGCACCCTCGCCAAAGTTCTGGATGCCCTACTCGGCCGTGCTTCCCAGGAGCCCACGAAAGTGTCGACAGTTGCATCGTTTGCAGCCCCCCAGGAAGCTGCGAGGTCTCGGCTGGGTCCGTCTACTCCCGCCCCCCAGGGGATCCCGTACAAAAAGCATCAAGGAGGTTCGCATGAGGGTTAAACAGGTTGTCCCTTAGAACTTCTTAAACAACAATTCTCAAGGGAGTAGTTGGAGGTCTTTCCCCCCCGAACCCCCTAAAACCCACCTGCACGGGAGTTCTGGGAGGAGTAATGGTGGTTGTCCTCCCCCCAGGACCCCCCGACAACCGCCCTCAGATGGGGCTTCTGAGGTGGTTGAACAAGTTTTCCCCGCCGAACCTCTACAACAACAACCCACGCACGGGGGGGCTGATGAGGCGGGGTAGCGGGGGCTTTCCTTCCGGATCCAATCAAAAAAAGTCCCTCATGTCGTGGTTGGGCGAAAGTTCTCTGGGGGGGAGGGTTTTTTTCCCACCTGGACCCCTCCCAAAAACTCCATTAGGGCTTTGTTTTAGGAGTTTGGGTTTCTGTCCTCAGGACCCCCCCCGAAAAACATGCCTACCTGAGGGCGGGCTTTGGGGGGGGGGTCCCCTCCCCGGCGAAGCCCCCAAAGAACGATTATCATGTTTTTCTTGCGCGCGTGGAGATCAAAAAGTTTTCGTCCCCGGACCCCCCCAGAATCCATATTCAGGGGGATTTGGACCACCCGAAACCATCACCAGATACCATGTCATGGATGCGGGCAATGTTCCGCCCTGGACCTCACCCAAAACATCCCTCAGGGGGGGGGTCGGAAGAATGGAGCTGGCGCACCAGAACTCTTTCAGAAGAACCTCCAAAACACCCTTCAGGGGAATTGCGTAAACAAAAATTACCAGTGCCTTCCACCTGGTCTCCTCCCAAAGCCCCCTCGAAAGGTTCTCAAAGGGTTTGCACGTGCGGGGGGGGCTTGCACGGGAGGTTGGAGGCCCGCAGACGCCTCCCACTCCAAAGGGCACCCGAAGCGCCCGGAGGCCCCGAAGCTTTGGGGTTGCTCTCGGAGGTCCAGGCTGTTGGAGGCCCCCCGCAGCCTTTCGCACCCCCCAGAACTCACGTGAGGGCTCCTCCTCAGGACCTCCTGAAATGCTCTTCAGGGTTTCTTGGGATGGGGAGGTCGGGCCCCCGGATCCCCCAAAAGCTTTCCTCACGAGGAAGGGTGGGGGATCAGGGGGCTGGAGGCCTCCAAAGCCCCTCGGCCCCGGATAGGAAGCATTTGGAAGCGGAGGCCTCTGGATGCCCTCGGAGGCCCTGGGAGGCCCCGGGGGCCTGCGGGCCCATTCCCCCATGCACATCGCCCCCCCTTTACGAAACGCCCGAGAGGATGGAGAGGAGGATCGCCCCGGCTGACGTCGCGCCCTCGGCCCTGCGGGCGGGGGCCGCAAGCTGAGCCCGCCGCTCGTAGCCCTGCACGGAGACGTACTCGGTGCCCTGCTGCGTCACCTCGGGCGGTCGGTGCACCCCCGCACAGCGCCGTGCGGAGGGCGGACGCTTACCAGACTGAGCGCACCGCCTCCTCCGCCTCCTGCTCACCCGCAACAGATGCACATTACGTAGCACCCCGCAGATGCGGATCAGAGTGAGGGGGCGGTGGGGACGTCGGCAGTTTGCGAGACTCTGGAGAAGCCCGCCGCAAGCGCCAAAGTTTCACTACTTATACAACGAGCCCGCCGCAGGCGCGGATTTCTTAGTTGAACCAATGCGGGTAGGTCGCGTGTGGGTCGCAAATGGGTCGCGGGTGGGTCGCTGTTGGGTCGCCGTTGGAGAGGGCAAAAACTCCGCCCCATGATAATCACCCCGACAAGCGACGCCGTTTTGTAAACGCACACAAGGATTGAATCGAACAGGGCAACGATGTTTAGTTAACGCCCAGGGCCGTTTAATAAACGTCAGTTGTCGGGTCCGGGTGGTTTTTCCTTACTTGAAGGTGGGTCGCGGGGTGGGTCGCGGGTGGGTCACGGATGGATCGCGGATGGGTCGCGGGGTGGGTCGCGGGTGGATCGCGGGGTGGGTCGCGGGGTGGGTCGCGGGTGGGTGGCGGGTAGGTCGGGTCGCGGGGTGGGTCGCGGGTGGGTCGCGGGTGGGACGACGACAATAAACAACAACAATCACAACAACAACAACAGAAACGACAACAACAACGACAACAACGCAACACGAAGAATTCCAACCACGAGTTCCTTATCCAGCCACGCACGCAAGGACAATGAATGACCGTTCGGCCCCCTCACTCTGATGCATACTACTCTCATCTTTCCCCTGGTTCAACCTGCAAGATGTCCCGCCCTCTCCGCGCATCGTTTCTTCCACACGTAGGATTTCGAACAAGTTGGGTGTTTCTTCTGAAAAGGTGAAGGGGCGTGTGTGTGTGTGTGTGTCAGTCCGCTCGTTTTCGATCCTTCACAAGATGTTCCCGCTGCAGCGCTGGCCTCATTTGTGCCCTTCGCATTTTCCCTCAAGATCGTGCACCCACTGCAGCGCTGGTCTTCTTCCCACGCCTTCGGTCCTTCCGAATGGTGCTCCAACTGCAACGCTGGCCGCCGCATTGCCGCGCTTCTGGACCTATGAAGATCACGCTGCAGCACCAGCCTCATCTCCAACCTGTCGGCCCTCCAACATGGTTTTCCAGCTGCACTGATCATGCAATCATGGCATGCAACTTCGTGCTATGTTGCTTAATGCGGATATGCCACGGCATGCCTTGCTCTGGCATGTTGTGAAACGGAATGCTTGGCTACGCAACGCCATGCCAAACTATACTAGACCATGCCATGTCATGGCATACTACGTAACGCTATGCTGTGCGCCGCTATGCGATGCCATGCCTTGCGCCTCAATGTTATGCTATGTAGTGCTTGATGCCATGTTACGCCATCCTACGCCATGCTATGCCATGCTATGCGTCCCGCGCCCTTTGGGGGTCAGCGTTCACTTTGACATCCCGACTGTGCGAAAAGAGAGGGGTTCTACGCAGTGGTAAGGTACAAACATGAAGTAGGAAAGCGCTAGAGGGAGATGGGGCTTCCGCACGCCCCCTGAATAGGAAATGTGAAGCAACTCGATGACTGAAGTAAGAAGAAGCCCAAAGTAGATTGACCTGGGAATCCAGAAATACATACTGTGTGGGCAACTCCTCCCCATCTCCGAGCAACGCATGGCCAAGAAGCGTAAGGATCCTGGCGGAATCGTACTTCACTCCAGCGTGTCAGGGCGCGAACTATCCAATGACGCGCTCAAGCGTGCAAGTGAAGCCGGCCAGGTCCTTATGTGGTCGACCAGCACAGGCAATCGCATCGAGTCGAGTCTTCCTCGGATGTTCCTGGCCTTGCGGTGCCCCTACGGGAGGCCTTCGACGGTGTTGTAGCCGATCACGGTTCACCTAGAAGTTAGCGAGCGAAGAACGGTTTAAAATAAACTTTTTCGCTGTCGGGGGCGCCTGTCCCTGGGCGGCTCGAAAATGTATACCCCTACGGTGCCACCGTAAGGGTATAAATTTTCCAGCCGCCCTGGGACAGGCGCCCCCGACAGCGAAAAAGTTTATGTTATACCGTTCTTCGCTCGTTAAAGAAGCATACTCTATCGTCTTAGTGTTGTTTTACGGTTTGCTGTCCTGGTGTCGGGCGAAAACGCGCGCAGGATGGCCAGATTTGGGGCGTTCGTCAACGCCCTTACTCTCCATTGGACTATCTTAAGCGGCTTCAACATGTCGCCTCAACAATTCGAGACGATTCGCTTCCCTGGACCCCTTACTGGACGGGGTGGTTCTCAGTGAGGATATACAATCACATTGTGTGACAGGCAGCGGCAATAGTCACATCGATTACGCTATCGTCAGCAGAATGTCTCAAGCGTCCCAATCCGTTGGGGGTGCACACTGCGGCTTAGAGCTCGAGCTGGTGAGTTCCGGCCTGCCGATGGTCACGAGAGTTGTCCTCCCCCCTCCAAGTTTCCTCAAGGCCAGAGACCTTCCACTCTGCCGCAGGCTGGTAGCAAGAGCAGTCGTAGCAGGGCAGAGAGGTAGGGCGAGCAGAAAAAAGGCAAGACAAATATGTCCGAGCTGCTTGCGAAAAAAACTTCGGAGATCTTTCAAGACCAGCCAGGACTACCATTGCCGGCGAAGCTTTAGGGTCGCAGCGGCAGGCAGGCCAGACCGAGCATGAGTGTGCATCCATCCGTCCTCTGTCAGGGACCGGTGGATTTCAGGACCCTTTTGAACATGTATTCGATGTCAAGACTACAGTTTGAAATGTGACAGGCCTGAAGCTTTAAGGATCCCCCCCGACTCCCACGGACCATCCGTGGCGGCCAGGCAAGAGTGTAGTCAGAGTGAGAGGTCGAACGGTCATTTCATTGTCCCTGCGTGCGTGGCTGAATAAAGAATTCGTGGTGAGAATTCTGCTTGTTGCGGTGTTGCTGTTGTTGTTGTTGTTGTTGTTGTTGTTGCGAATGTTGTTGTTTGTTGGCGTCGTCCCAGCCGCGACCCACCCGCGACCCACCCGCGACCCACCCCGCGACCCACCCACGACCCACCCCGCGACCCATCCGCGACCCATCCGCGACCCACCCGCGACCCATCCCGCGACCCACCCGCGACTCACCCCGCGACCCACCCTCAAGGGAAGAAAAAACCCGGACCCGACAATTGACGTTTACTACACGGCACTGGACGTTGACTAAACAGCCCTACCCTGTTCGATTCAATCCTTGTGTGCGTTGACTAAACGGCTTCGCTTGTCGGGAAGATGGTTCTGGGGTGGATTTTCTGCCCTCTACACCCGCGACCCACCCGCGACCCATCCGCGACTCATTTGCGACCCACTCGCGACCTACCCACATTGGTTTAACGAAAAAATCAGCGCCTGCAGCGGGCTCGTTTTATATAGCACCCCGCAGATGCGGATCAGAGTGAAGGGGCGGTGGGGACGTCGGCAGTTTGCGAGACTCTGGAGAAGCCCGCCGCAAGCGCCAAAGTTTCACAACTTATACAACGAGCCCGCTGCAGGCGCTGATTTTTTCGTTAAACCAATTTGGGTAGGTCGCGCATGGGTCGCAAATGGTTCGCGGGTGGGTCGCTGTTGGGTCGCGGGTGCAGAGGGCAAACAATCCACCCCATAATCATCACCCCGACAAGCGAAGCCGTTTAGTCAACGCACACAAGGATTGAATCAAACAGGGTAGGGCTGTTTAGTTAACGCCGAGGGCCGTTCAGTAAACGTCTGTCGGGTCTGGGCGGTTTCTCCTCTCTTGAGGGTGGGTCGAGGGGTGGGTCGCGGGTGGGTCGCGGGGTGGGTCGCGAGTGGGTCGCGGATGGGTCGCGGACGGGTAGCGGGGTGGGTCGCGGGTGGGTCGCGGGGTGGGTCGCGGGTGGGTCGCGGGTGGGTCGCGGGTGGGTCGCGGGTGGGTCGCGGGGTGGGTCGCGGGGTGGGTCGCGGGGTGGGTCGCGGGGTGGGTCGCGGGTTGGACAACGACAACGAACAACAACAACAACAACAACAACAACAACAACAACAACAACAACAACAACAACAACGACGCAACAAACATAAGTCTCACCACGAATTCCTTATTCAACCACGCACGCAAGGACAATGAATGACCGTGCGGCCCCCTTAATGTGATAAGTTAGTTGTGAAACTTTGGCGCTTGCGGTGGGCTTCTCCAGGGTCTCGCAAACTGCCGACGTCCCCACCGCCACCTCACTCTTATCCACATCTGCGGGGTGCTACATCATGATGTACAGTGTATCTCGTTTCCTGTCTGCACCCAATACTCCCAATTGCAGTGCCATCAGGCTCAAGTGGGCCCCGTGCCCCAAACTTGATCCGATGAGTGGCCCGCCATGTTGCACTCGTACGCCGTCCGTGCATGAGGCGGACATGTACTCGGAGTCAGCAGTGAGTTTGCAACTTGGGTGGAGGCGGCAGAGAAGACGACTGCACACCATGATGCTCGGCATCCAGATTCGGCAGAAAATCCACCCCAGAATCATCACCCCGACAAGCGAATCCGTTTAGTCAACGCACACAAAGATTAAATCAACCAGGGCAGGGCTGTTTAGTCAACGTCAAGTGCCGTTTACTAAACGCCAAGTGTCGGGTCTGGGCGGTTTTTTCTTCCCTTGAGGGTGGGTCGAGGGGTGGGTCGGCGGAAGAACCTTTCAATTGTTCAGAACTGCCGCGTTCGCAAGGCTCCGACTCTCTACCCTACCAGTGCAGCAGGCGTTGAGGCAACGCGAGGCTGCGCCCGCAGTCGAGGCGGCCCATTAGTGGGCACGGGCGCGCAACGCACATGCGGTGGTCCGCAGGGACCTCTCGGCGCAGGGATAACCTCTTAATTATTCAGGACTGTCGCGTTCACAAGGCTCCGAACTCTCTGCCCAATCCATGCAACATTCCTTAGGCCCGAGGGAAGCCGTTAGGCCAAGCACGACGAAAAACCGCCAGGCCGGGTCCCCTCAGCACCCCCTGTCTTCATGGCGAAGCATACTTTGCAACGGCAGCGCGACCGGGAGCACCAGAGCAGTCCACCTGCCCCGGGCGAAGCCTCTGGGAGGCACTCGCCGCATGCACCGCAGCACAGCGTGGGCCAGCAGGCAGCACCGACGAGCAGTACCCTCCGCGGGCACCGCCAGCTGGGGGCAGCGGCGCCCAGAAGCAGCCGCAGGAATGGCCACACACGCAGCACTCGTCAAGCGGTGGCCCACGCAGCATCCGAAGAGAAGGCTCCGCAGGGCGGTAACTGCATGCAAGGGCCTCGCCATCCAGCACGTGCTGGGGAGTGCTTCCGGCGGGAACGTGGACTCTGCCGGGCAGCACCTGCCGGGAAGCGTGCGCACAGACATGGATCACGCACCATGCCTCCTCCGCTGACCCGTCTACAGTCAAGACGCTGAGACAAGGATCGCTTTGGGTCCGGAAGGGGCTCGCTGTCCCTTGGGCCACTCCGTGGTGGTTCCTCTCGCCCTCCTCGTGCACGCAGGCGCTTTTGGGGCCCAAAAGGGCTTGCGTTCCTTGTGCGGCGTTCCTTCTTCCAGCAGCCCGACTGCAGGCGGACAGGCGAACTTCAGACGCAGAGGACAGGCAGAGGCGCGGGGACCCTGCTGACGGAGGCGTGCGCGCGACCCGATGCAGCCACGCTCGCGAGAGGCGCGCTGGCTCGGGCTGCATGGGGGGCCGGGGAGGCAGGCAGGATGGGGGGCGAGAGAGGGGAGGGGGGAGAACAACGAGACGCAAGGGCTCCCAACTTCTGCGCTTCGCGCTGCGCGAAGCGCAAACAACTTCGCGCTCTCGCGCCGCCTCCTGGGGGAGAAGAGGAGGATGAGGGATCGGAGCCGAATCGCGAAGCGCGAATGACTTCGCGCCCCCGAGGGCGCCATTGCAGAAGGGAGGACCATGGAAATCTCCGAATGCCACGGGAGACTTCCGGAGGCACAGCGAGCTGCACAGCACATCCCGAACCTCGATCCTCGAGCAGGGAGGCAGGCAGGGAGGAGGAGGAGGAGGAGGAGGCGGAGGAGGAGGAGGCAGTGGAGGAGGAGGCAGTGGAGGAGGAGGAGGAGGAGGAGGAGGAGGAGGCCCTGAGTGAGGAGGCCGCCTTGGCCCCACATGAGCTCTGGATTGCCGTGAGCTTCTGGGGGTCAATAGCCTCGGCGACCACGCTGCTGATCCTGTCCGTGAGATGGGTGGGGGGGCGTCGGCCTTCCCGACGAAAAAGGACGCGGGGATCCGAGAAAGGACCGAGAAAGAAGGACGAGGGGCGAGATGGGCAGAGGGGATCCGAGGAAGAAGGACGAGGAGGAGGAGCTGGAGAAGATGAGGACGGGAAGGAAGAGGAGGAGGAAGAACATGGAGGAGGCAAGGAAGGGTGAGGAAGTGTGATGAGGAGAAATATGAGGGAGCAGGGATGATTATGACGAAGGGTGGAGGAGAAGGTCGGAGGAGGATGAGAACGATGAAAAGAAAGGGGGGAGGAGGAACGGCGGGGGAGCACTTAACGGAATCCGCCGACAATGTCGGTGTGTGTGAGGGGGAAGCTGGGGGTGGTCGTCTTTCGCACTCCCGAAAGTAGATAAAGTCAACAGAATTGCCACAGTATGAATATCCGCCACCGTGCCCTTGAGGCCCGAGTTGGAGTGTCCTCAGGTCTGGCCTTCCATCCACCGTCCGGGGCTCGGCGGAACGGCGTACGCAAGCCTCTTGAGAAGAACTTTGCAACAATTGCATGCGCGGATGGCGTCCCCTTTTCAATCATTTCGCGCTCTATCAAGGTCACTACTCTTCAAAACAGAGCGCTCGCAAGAACCCCAGGCCCGTGGGCCGCTTGTCTTTCAAGACGGTGCCTGCCGCAACGAAGCGAAACCGGGTGCAGACGTGTGAGAAGGGGGGCTCGGGGCGGGAGGCCGTATGACAGCATCGTTGACGCATCCTGGTTGAATGGTCCCCTCCCTCCTCCTCCGCCTTCTCGGGGAGGGGGGGTCCTGATCTCGGCCTTGACCACGTTCTCCGAGGAGTGGCGCTCCGAGGGGGTATCCTGGGGCAGCTGCTTGGGGCGGACGCGCACGAGGTCGCGGACCTTGCGCTCTGCCTGGCGGACGGCTCTCCCCCCCACCCTCCTTTCCCCATCCATCGGTCCCTCCCCCCCCTCGTCCCTCCGCCCCTCCCCACTGCATCCACATCCCCCTGCTCCAACCTCATCTCTCCTCGCTCTCCAAGCAAACTTACACCCCTACCAGGCCCTCCTCCGCACTCTCCTCCATCCCCTCCTCCTCCTCACCGAATTCTTCCTCGCCCGATGCTCGATTGCAGAAGCCACGACGCATGGCGCAAAGACGCGCGCCAAGTTTGTGACGTCCCCCCTCCACCGCCCGTCTTTCTGCGGTGGACAAACCTCCCTTTAGTAAACCACCCTTTAGTGAAAACGGCCTAGGACCGAAACCGACGGACCCAGACCCGCAAAAATAACGGCTGCGACGCCCTCTCGCGAACCGAAAACGGCCAATTCACGAATCGACGCGTCAGGGTAGGAGGTCTATCCAACTCCGAGTCTTACCCTACCCCACTCCTTCCCCTCCTCCATCTGCGTCTCCCCTGCCTCCCTCGCCCCGTACGTGTCCCTCCTGCAGCGACGCTGCCCGTTGCTTCCTGGCCATAGCCTAGGGCTCCCAACTTCGCGCTTCGCGCCACGCGAAGCGCGAATAACTTCGCGCTTTCGCGCCGCCACCCCAAAGGGAGAAAAGGAGGACGAGGAGGGGAGAAGGAACGAGGACCGCGAAGCGCGCAGCGCGAATAACTTCGAGCCCTCGTGGGAGCCCTTGCGTCTCCCCTGCCTCCCTCGCCCCTGCATAGTTTTAAGTCGGGCCCGTCCCGCTGCAGGGGGATTTTCGACGAAAAATAAGACATACCCACAACACATTGTCAACAAATAATCAACAAATAGACTGGGGACTATTTGTTGAGTATTTTGTTTGCCTTTTTAGGGGTATTGATCGAATCTCTTTTATTGTTCGTCGAAAATCCCCCTGTAGGGGGACACGCCCGCCATACACAGATCTCCCTCCTGCAGCGACGCTGCCCGCCGTCGCTTCCTGGCCATATAGCTCGGGCCTCCGGCGGCCCCTCGGGAGGACCCCCCGCCCCCCCCCCCCCGAGCGCCCTCGGCGAGGCCCCTGCGCGCCGCCGAGAGCCGACGCGAACCGACGAGCGCACCTCGAACCTCCGGACGCCCGAGATGGGCACGTAAAGGATGGGCACAGTGTCCAACAACAACTGGGCACGACATGGGCCCGAAGTGGGCAGTGTACCCCAGATTTCGTCATAAAGGGAGGGGGGTCTCATTTCGGGGGGGGTCTCTTCCAGGCTATCTTGGAGGGCCTGGGGGGTCTGGGGACGATGTCTTGGAGGGTTCTCCCACGGGGGGGGGGGTCTGAAATGGCTTGTCTTGGAGGGTCCAGACCCCCTCCCTTTTATTACGAAATCTGGAGTACCCATTCTTGCCCCCCCCCCCGTCCCCGAGCGCCCTCGGCGAGGCCCGTGCGAGCGCCGCCGAGAGCCGACGCGAACCGACGACGAGCACCTCGAAAGCCTCCTCGAGCGCCTCCCCCCTGGCGGCCGCCGGCAGAGCAGGGGCGCCGAGAACTGCTGCGGCGCCGCTCGCGCGGCGCGCGAGGGGCGCGGAGCACCTCGCGCCCTCGCGCCGCCCCCCCCCCAAAGGGAGAAGAGGAGGAGGAGGAGGAGGAGGAGGAGGGAGAAAAGTGACCCCTCCCCCCCCCCCCTCCCATGGAGCGCCCCCCACTTGGACGCCCACCCCCCCCCCTTCCCCCCCCCTTCCCCGAAAAGGAGGAGGGAGGAGGAGGAGGGAGGAGGAGGGAGAAGGGAGAAGGAGGGAGGAGGAGGAGGAGGGAGGAGGAGGAGGAGGAGGAGGAGGAGGAGGAGGAGGAGGAGGCGGAGGGAGGGAGGAGGACGGCGAGAGATCGGAGCCGAAGCGCGAAGCGCGAAGAGCTTCGCGCCCTCGAGGGCGCCCGTGCAGAGCAGCTGCGCTGGGGCCTGCTTGCGCCCCTTGTGGGGCCCGAAGATGAGGAGGCAGTCGGAGTTGTCCGCGTCGCCCTGCGGTGCCGAGGTCCGCGAGCGGCGTGCGCGCAGGCGGGCGCGCAGGAGTGCCAAGTAATCCTCTCGTCCTCGTCCTCTCCTTCCTCATCCCGCTCCCTCCTCCTCTCCCCTCCTGAGGCGAAGGCACATGGAGGATAAATGAGGATGAGCATGAGTCCAGAATCAACGAGACCGTGGGTCTGGAGGACACGTCGGGCGCGGCGGCCCTTCCGGAGCGCTCCAGAACGCTCTGAGAGCGTGCCCGAACGCTCCGGAGCAGTGTATCCTGGTCCTGGGCCTGCCTGAGTCCTCGGTGGTGCGGACGGCACCGCACGTGGCGGTCTTCACGCGTGTACTGGCGAGGAGGGGAAGAGACTGCTGGGGACCAAGAGGAGGCCGAGGAGGACGGGAGAGGGAGGGAGATGGGAGGAGGTGAGGAGAAAGAGACGAGGAAGAGGAGAAGCAGGGCAGAGGGCAGAAAAAGAGGGACGTGACAGGGGAAGAAATCGACAATGAAGAAAGATGTGGAAGAGCCTCCTTGTCGGGCCAACTGCGCACAACAAAAACTACGCGCATCATGCTATCGGATGAGCAAGGCGGCACGCGGCATGGTCCAATAATGCCACGACGATGCTGGCCAATCGGCCAGTGCAATGCCGATGGAGGACGAGGACGACGAGGACGAAGAAAGAAGGAGACATGGAGCAACTGGATGAGGAACGATGAAGCAGGGAGCACGGAGAGTTGGGAGCGAGAGCAAAACTGGAGGTAGGAGGACGCGGAAGGGGGAAGAGGAGGCCCCTGAAAGCTCGAGGTGGTGCTCAGGGGATCCTGGGGGGGCCTCGTCCTGGTCACTCCGCCCAGGCTCACGCGGGGCAGACGACGTCCAGCGCCCCACCGCGCCACAAGGATCGACATGCCCGGGGCCCGAGCGTGCCGGAGAAGCACACTCGACACGGGTCCCTGCACGTGGGTGGCCGCGCGAGCGTCGGCATGCCCACACGCGCATGGGACCGGAGCCTGCACACGTGCATGCGCGTACGTCAGTCTTCTTCTTCCTCCTCCTCCTCCTCCTCCTCCTCCTCCCACTCTTCCTCCTCCTCCTCCTCGTTCTCTGCATCATCTTTCCACATCATCCTCATCCTCCTCTCCTCATTTCTTCTTCAAAAGCGTGCCGTACCGACTTCGGCGTTGGTTGCGGACACCGCGGGGGGTGTTCAACCTTGAACGATCGGCCGTTTCCGAAACGTCCAAACCGTTCCACATCGAACGATTCTGGGTCGCCCGCGTAGTTCAACGGTGAACGCCGCTGGCGTTCACCGTAGAACTTCGCGGGCGACACGACACGAACCTACCGTAGACACATCTGATATAAGGCGTTCTTTTCAAAAAGACTCCTGCCAACTATATCGCAACCACTGAACAAAAAAATCGGCAATACACATCGCAACAATACGTCACGGAATTTACCATCACCCAGGGCACCAAAAGAGTTCTATAATGCCCTTGCACGCTCCATACGTTTGATCCAAACACTGCGAGGAAGTACCCGTGAGTCCCTGTCTTGCGCCGCATCTGTTCATGTTCGCCCGATGCCGAGGACATAGCTTTCGCCTTGGCACTCACAATGATGTTGTGCGTGGAGCGTAGCTGTGCCCATAGACAGACAAACCACATTAATGGGTGCGCGCGTGCTGGAGCGCGTGCGCGAATGCAAGGCGTATCGACTTCCGTCCCGAAACAAATCGCCCGACCCCTCCTGGACACCGTCCCGAACAATGCTCGTCCCGCGTCAAGGCGTGGCACGATGGGCCCCCCCCAGGCCAACAATTGATTTCAGCGGAAAGAGAACTCGTCGCCCTCACCCTCATCCTCGGCGCCACCTTCCTCCTTTTCCTCCTGCTGGGGTCCCTGGAGGTCGACAGACGCCTCCGGAGGCCCGAAGTCCACATGAATCTTCATATGGGAGCCTTCTGGGTGACTTGGTGGCGCGCAAAGGGGGGTAGAGTAGGGGCCGGGGGGAAGGCTTTTTAGAAGCACCCTGCTTCTCAGAAGGCCCCAGCATTACATCTATAGATAAGGCCAGGGCCTTCTAAGGAGCATTGGGTGCTTCTAAGACGCCTTCCCCCCTCCACCTACCCCCCCTCTGCGCTTTGCCGAGCGACCACGAGCAACACCGAGAGCACACAAACCCCGGGTCCTCGATGCCAGAGGGGCGTCGCTCCCTCCCCTCGCCCAACTTCTCTGGTTTGGACCCCCGAAATGGGCACGGAAAGAATGGGTACAATGCCCAACAGCAAATGTTGTCCCGAACCAACAGCGGCCGCTGTTGGGCAGGCGGCCTCCTGTCTTGAATGGGCACAGGCCGCAGCGGCGTGGACAGCGAGTCCAGTTCAAAATGAACAGGAACTGCAGTTGGGCATTGTACCCGTTCTTTCCGTACCCATTTCGGGCGTCCAGATCTGGGCCCTGACAGGCCACGCAGGGACCTGATCCCCCACGACCTCACCACACGGTCCCATCGCTCCGTCGCCGCACGGCTCCGGGACCTGCAGGCCTCCGTCGACGCCTTCGGAGAGCGACGCATGCCCCAAAGCTGCGCGGTGGGAGGGATGGAGGGAGGGGGAGGAGAGGAGGGGGGGGGGAGGGGGGGAGGGAGGGGGAGGGGAGGAGGGAGGGGGGAGGAGGGGGGGAGGAGGGGGAGGAGGGAGGAGGGGGAGAAGCTTCCGGCGCCTCCCGAGGCGTACTGACTCACCACAGGGTGTGGCCACCACAGATACCGACACCGCGAGGGAGTCCTTCCGCGGACCCCTCCCGGGGGGTGCGTGCGGACCAGACTTCCCAGGAGATACTCTAGCCGTGGCGACGAGCGCCATCCGGGACGAACAGCGCCGTCGGCATCTCTTCCCCTTCTGACCGTGGAGAAGCTCCGCCCTCGGCAAAAGCCAGGAGAGGCCAGAAATCGAATCGGTGGGTCGCATCGGCGAGCAACCTGCATCCGATCGGCGGAAAAGTCGGCAGCCGAGCCGGGAGGGGTCGAGTCGGCGGGGAGCGGCAGGCTGGCAAGGCCTCCACTGCGAGATCGAATCCGCATCGGAACCCGACGTCGAATCGCATCGGGATCGGAATCCGTCGAAATCGGATCGAATCGAATTCGGGAGCGGCCAAGCGGGGGGCGCGCAAGAGGGGGGCGGCATGTGCGCGGCCCAGGGGGGGCCCAGGGGGGGGGGGGGAGCCAGAGAACGCATTGAAATAAGAAGAGGCGCCATGAGATCTGGGGAGATTTCATGGCCCACGCCATGATATCCACCCCCCTGTAGTCATCACCCCCCTCTTGGCCACCCCCGAAACTGAGCACCGTTGAACCGACCCCCATCCTTACCAGAGTGGACTCGGCCCCACTGGCCGATTTACCCTCCCTGCATGGGGATATTGGCTGCTCTCTTTAGGCTTCGAGGGGCATATCCCCAACTGAGGTGGTGAGACGGTGGGGCTCGAGATGTGGATGGGGATGGGGATAGGGATCGGCGAAACGATACTGAAGAAACCCGTCGGAATCGAATCGGACCGAATCGGGGGGAGCTTTGGAGTGCCGAAGCGGTGCGGTGACAGACCGTGCGGTGACCGCGGACCCCCAAGAGACCTCACCGCACGGTCCGTCACCGCACGGCTCTGGGACCTCGGAGACCCCTGTCACCCAAGACGTCCTCGGAGAGGGACTCGAGTCCCAAAACCGTGCGGTGACCCCGAATCCCCACCGACTCACCGCACGGATCGGGCCAGGCGAAAGGGGGGGATAGCAAAAAGGGGGTTTGAGAATCAACTCACTGAACTGACTTTCCCGGCGCCTCCCGGCGCAGGGCCGGCGGGGCCGAAACCAGCTGCACGCAGCATATTTCGACCCCCCCCCCTTTCCCTATCCCCCCCTTTCCTTTCGGCCCGAACGGCGTGGTCACCACCCCCGTTGGGGGGCCCCCGAGGAGCGGGCCGAGCCCTGCGAAGCCGGGGCAGCCGGAGCTCTCTTGGACGCCCGAGTTATCCGGGGTAACTCGGGTCCGGGGTAACTCGGGCTTGGGTTCCCGAAAAACGAACCCGGGTTAGCCCTGACCCGAGTTACCCCTGATGATTCGGGGCTCTGGACACCCGAGTTATCCGGGGTAACTCGAGTCCGGGATAACTCGGGCTGGGACTCCCGAACAACGAACCCGAGTTAGCCCTGACCCGAGTTACCCCTGATGATGCGGGGCTCTGACTCTCGGCTCGGGCGGGCTCGCCCCGCCGGCGCGGCGCTCGCCGCGGGCTCGCCGCCGGGCGCGCCTCCAGGAAGCAGAAGGTGTCGGTCTCGTGCTCGATGTCCCGAAGGGTGGAGCCTGGCGGCGCGCCGGGGTGCGAGGAGGGGAGGGAGGAGGGGAGGGAGGAGGGAGGGGAGGGAGGAGGGAGGAGGAGGGGAGGGAGGAGGAGGAGGGAGGGAGGAGGGAGAGGGAGGGCAGGGAGGAGGAGGGGAGGGAGGAGGGAGGGCCGGAGGGGCGACCTCCAGAGGGGCCCTCCCTGCCCGAGGCAGGGGCTGGAGGGGCAGCGTCCTGAGGCGGAGGGCAGCGTCCTGAGGGAGGGAAAAGGGCTGGACGGGTTCGGGGCAAGGTCCGGAGTGGGCCGACTCGGGTGGGGGGGGGGAGGGAGGAGGAGGAGGAGGAGGAGGAGGAGGAGGAGGAGGAGGAGGAGGAGGAGGAGGAGGAGGAGGAGGAGGAGGAGGAGGAGGAGGAGGAGGGGGTGACTCGAGCTGGAATCGGCGATGCACCGGCGGTGCATCCGGCGATGGGCCCCCGATGGCGAGGCCGAGCGCTCCTGGGCGGGGCGGGCGAATCAGGCCCCCGAGTCGGGGAAGAGTGGGCGGCCGACGACGTGGGGCGTTGGTGACTTCCCCCCGTGGACCTGTCCCCACTGGCGCTGCCACTGAGATTTTTGGCAATCCCTCGTCCTCCTCCTCCTCCTCCTCCTCCTCCTCCTCCTCCTCCTCCTCCTCCCTCCGTGTGTTGAACACGAGCGACCGATGCCAATACAGCACACCCCTTTCATGAGCAGTTTGGCTGCTCACGGTCTCACCTGGCTCGCGCGCCGTCCGGACGCAAGGCTTCTGGACTGAACTGAACACTAACGTTACCACTGAGATTTAGAAGTCCCTCCCCAGATCGTCAGGGATTGCCCTGACGATGTGGGGTCGGTGACTTTCCTCCCTTCGGTGGCAACGTTACCACTGAAGGGAGGAGGAGGAGGAGGAGTGAAGGGCAGAGGAGAGGGGCGGACAGTGCAGAGTCCATGGGTGCGTGGCCGAAGCGGGGTCCCTGGGACTCGGGACTGCTGTGGCTGTTGGGCGTCGCCGTCGTCGCCAGCCCTCCGACGCACCAGCGCCCCATCCCACGGCCCAGACCGCAACCCACCCGAGCGACCCACATCCGCGACCCATCCAAATTGCTTTGCTTTGCGATCCGTTCATCGCTACTGCGATTCGTAATGCTAGCTGGGTGATCCGCGGTTGATCGGGAGTTCCTGAGTCTAGCGATGAGGAACGGCCGACTCTGCGAGGATGTCCCGTGCGAAGCGGCTGGTGTGGGATTCTGCGCCAGATTCAGCAGAAACGGTGCCAGGACACGAAGGCACTCTTGGCTGCTCCCCAGGAGCCGATTTTGTGAGGTTGTCCCGAGCTAGGGCGCTGATTTGGGATTCTACGCCGAATTCGTCAGACTCGCCAGGGAAAAAGCAGGAAGTGAAAGTGTTGGCCCCACATGCTCGCGCGCGGGCGGTCAGGGTGATATGAGTTCCACAAACACGACCTCAAATGATCATCATTCTTTGATTCGCGTGCGGAATTGAATGTAGGTGGATGCGGCGCGCTTCATTACGTGTACGCTCAAACCTAAAGACCCATCTATAAGCCACTCCGCAACCTACCCACATCCTCCGAACAGAAACGCGCCCGCGCGGGCTGGTTGCCCTCCTCCCAAAGAGGACAGCGAGAACGGCTGGCAATCTCTTTACATTGGCGCTCGAGGCCCGAAACCCAGGCAAATCAGCCACAGCGCACCCTCACTCTTTATCAATAATTGCAGGGCTCGAGGTTCTTCACGTCCTGTACGCACTGATAACTGCAACTTAGTTCCATTCCGCTGGAAACGGTCATACACGCTTCAAGTTTAAACCGACATGTCATCACGCACCCGCCTACAGTTTTAGACAAGCAGACCTCACACTCTGCGAATGGAAGCTGCCATCTACCGGCCTCGGCGCGTTCAGTCGCTTTGGCATATGTCGATCAAGTGACCCAAGCTTCGACTCAAACCTACGGGCCTACGGGCTGAGCCTGCAGACTCAGTCTCCTCCTCCTCCTCCTCCTCCTCCTCGTCCTTCGTTTCGTCCTCGTCGTCGTCGTGGTCGTCGTCGCTGCTCCTCCGTATTCTCCCTCCTCGCCTCTGTGAGCAGCCCGTCCTCGTCCTCCTTGCCCCTCGTCCGCTCCCGGTGCCTGCCGCCCTCCCCCGCCCGACGAGACGCAGACCTGTGGGACCGAGAACAGCACGGGCTCGGCCCCACACCTCACCCGCCCGCCGTCGCGGCAGGGGCTCGGGAGCCCTTCAGGATGCCCGTGAGCTCGCGGGGGACCTCCACGCTCGTCGCGTCGGAGCGGCCCGCCATGTCGATGAAGACCTGTTCCCGGGGGGTCGAGCCAGAGCACTCCGGCGGTAGGACCCCTCGCGAGAAGAGGTGTTAGCTTGGCTGGGAATCACCTCCTGCTCCCTCCTCCTAACCCCCTCCTGCCTCCTTCTCCTCGTGCCTGCTCCTCATGGCTCATTATCCTGCCTCCTCCTCCTCCTCCTGCCTCCACCTCTTTCTGGCCTCCTGCCTCCTACTTCTCTTCGTTGGGCTGCTTCGCCCTCTCTTTCTCCTCATCCTCCTACTCCTCTGCCTCCTCCCCGTCCGGCCTCCCCCTTATGCTTCCTCCTTGGGCATCATGCCTCCTCTGGCGGCCTCCTGGGACACTTCTCCTCGCCTACCTCCTCCTCCTCCTCCGACTTCTCCTCTCCTCCACCTCCTCCTCTTCCTCCTCCTCCTCCTCCTCCTCGTCCACCTCCTTCTACTTTTCCTGCCTCGGGCTGCGTCCTCCTCCTCCTCCTTCTCCTCCTCCTCCTCTTCCTTGTCCTGCCTCCTCCTGCATCCTCCTGCCTCCTCCATGGACCTCCTGCCTTCTCCTGCCTGGGGCATCCTGGGGCCTCCGGTTACCTCCTGGAGCCTTGTGCGGCATCCTGCGTTCTTCTGGGGCTTCCCCGGGGTACTCCTCCTGCTCTTGCCTCCTCAACTTCCTCCTCCTCCTCCTCCTCCTCCCTCCTCCTCCTCCTCCTCCTCCTCCTCCTCCCCCTCCTCCTCCTCCTCTTCCTCCTGCCTGTTCTCTTGCCTCCTACTCCTCCGTTTCCTCCTCCTCCTCCTCCGTTTCCTTCTCCTCCTCCTCCTCCTCAGCCGCCGTCCCGGTTCGAGAGGTTTTGGGCGCCGTACACGGTACGGCGAACCTCTCGCGTGGGACAGCTGCCACGCGTGCTTGCCCGCCCGACCAGCAGGGCCAGCCGCGCCAGATCGCACTTGCCACGGCGAGCCACAGGCGCCCTCGAGAGGACCCAACGTGGCACCGCCGCCTCCGCAAGGAGCGCAGCAGAGCCAGATTGCTGGTGCTGATAGCTGCAGCGACGGACTTGCTCAGCAGGCACCACAGCAGTCCAATGGCCAAAGGAAGGAATGCTCGTGACCGATGACAGCAGGAACGTGAGCATCGACAGCCGCCATGGACCAAGGACGCCGAAGTGCAAGAGACCGTGGGATTGTCCAGCAGGTTCGTTTCATAATGCCTGGTCAGCCACAGCATGCGCGAAGTGTCGTCCTCACACATCACGCACACCTTCTGGGGCATCCTCCAGGCCCCGACGCAGGGCTGCATCCTCGCAGCCACCCGAGCAGAAGCCCGACGCCCCAGCCCAGAAGGACGACCTCATTCCAATCATGCTCGCTTCGCCAGAGTACGCCACCTCGCACAAGAGGTGGCGCAATCCACCAGCAGATGCACAAGAATTAGGAGAGTTTCGAAAGGCTTTGACGGCCACCATGGAGTCTCTAGAACGGCAGATATGCTGCGCAGCGGACTTGCAGCTTGGAGACGATCAAATCAACGCCTTGAGGGACGAGTACATTGTAGTCTTGTACCAAATGATACACTCAAGATCGCCACAAACACGAATGCAGAAGCAACGTTTATTCGTCAGCAGATGCCGGAAGAGGCTCGTGGACTCACAGGCCCGCTACAACTTGCTCCAGGAGGAGCCAGACGCGGCCTCCGAGCAATGTCAGGCGTTGCAAGACGACCTAACATAAGCAGAATCGTTATTAGAGCATTTCGAGGAGTTGGAAGATGCGCAGCCTTTCACCACAGCAGTTTCCAATCCTTGGGACAATGCTGACGAGGGTCTCATGGAGGAGGACGAAGCAATGCTCGCGTTCGGCCAGGACAGCGCGATGCATCAGGTGCTGCCGCGCAGCAGACTTCCTTCGAGAAGACTGCACGCGCGTCCACGCCGCCAGCCACGTGAAGTTCGTCGCAGTGGACCACACCATCCCAGCGGCACCAGCATCACCAAGCGTCAGATCAGCTGAACGAGGAGCAGGTCCACTACCAGCCTGGAACGTATCCCTATCCCTATGTTGGGCACCGCCTCCTCACGATGGCGATCTTAGGGACTTCCTCAGCTTCTGCGGGTGCACCCATAAGATTGTCATCTCCTTTTAGCGTGTCAATCTTAGGGTTAAGTCGGGCCGGTCCCCCTACAGGGGGATTTTCGACGAACAAATGCTAAAAAAAAACCAAAACATACCGCAAAAAGGTCAACACCCCCCAAAAAATAGTCCCCAGACTATGCTTGGACTATTTTTGGATTATCTTTGGGGTATTTTTTATTTTTCGTCGAAAATCTCCCTGTAGGGGGACAGGCCCGACCTAATCTCAGGGCCCAAGGACACACACACACACACACACACATAAATGCACACAATTAAAAAGATTCCCCATATTTGTAAATATTTTGGGGGTTTCTGTCTTCCCCGCCACTTCACATGTTTCCCGATAGTTTCCGGGGGATCGACAATGGATTGTGTCTGTGTGTTTTTTCCCCTCCTGAGTCTTCTCCTTTCAGCGTGTCAATTTAAGGGATAGGGATCAGCTCGAGAGGACGGTGAGGCCACGGCGTCCAGCACCTCGGCCTCGTGCGCGGGCACGACCTCGCGAGAGGCGGCAGCTGCCTCCGCGAGCACCGACGCCAGCATGCCGGCCTCCACCAGCCGCCCTGCAGCAGGCCGGCTTCCAGAGGCTCAACACCAGGAGGACATTTCCTGGCCATCGCTCGGACGTCCATTCCCTGTGTTTTTTTCGGTTTCGTGCGTGGCTTTTTCGCCAAATGATCAAGGATGCTCCTCGATGGTCCTCGCCGAAAGAAAAATGCACACGTCCGAGCGATGCCAGGGAGAGGCGGCAGCTGCCTCCGCAAGCACCGACGTCGGCATGCGGGCCTCCACCAGCCGCCCTGCAGCAGGCCGGCTTCCAGATGCTGAACACCAGGAAGACATTCCAGCAGACGGTATACAGGGCAGTTTTCAATACATTGGATATTTGAAAATATGTGATTTTTATACATGATTGACTTATGAATAAATGTGTGCATGAACTCATCGTTGTTTGTATACAAAGCCCTGCATTTTCAATACATGATCCGCACGCGGAGCATGTATTAAGAACGGCACTGTACCCACTCTCCAGAGTGACATCGGCCACGTAAGGTCCGAGCAGCAGGCAGAGGAGAGCAAGGTGACCGAGGTCGCAGCAGACGCAGCCAGGACAGCCATCGACCCGACCCCGATCGAGAAGGATCGCCACTCGTCGGAGATTAGGGGGCCACATGCGAACCCTACCCCTACCCCCCACGATTTCTGAGGGGAAGGGTGGGGTTCACTTCGCTCGGGAGCTCCCGAGCGAAAAGAACCCCACCCTCACCCTCAGAAATCGTGGGGGGTAGGAATAGAGTTCGCATCTGGCCCCCTAGAGATCACGCCGGAAGCGCAGCGCGCAGGACGTGAACGGATGGCAGCAGCGCTGCAAAGGACGACGCCCAGCCAGGTCCGCCTCGCCCCGCCGTCACGGCAAAATAGCGGACCGGCAGGGGCGAAAGTCCAGCGCGCGGACGTCGACGGCGCCAGCCCGCTGGGCAGCGGCGCGGAGGCAGTCGCCGCACGTGAGGCAGCAGGTGCAGCAGCAGTCAGAGCCAGGGCGCAAGCTACTCAGAGCCCGCCAGTGCCACGGAGCCGCTTGCAGCCACTCCAGCGAGTGGCGCGTCGGCAGCCAGTTCGGTTTTTCGCTGAGGGCCGCGTCAGAAGCGTCTCGGCCTCGGAATTCGGAGTCTTGTCTCCACAGTCCAAGGTTTTCCACCGCCTTGCCAGTTTTGCATCAGGAGGCCCAAGGAAATCGTGACCAGCACCTCGGGTATTCGATTGCTGGCCAGCGTCCTCCCTCTACCCAAGGCACCCCTTACTCTCCCATCCCACAGCTACTGCCATAAGGAAGCTGTTGGAGAGACCTTGGTCACGTCAACTCTCAGTGGACACACCCAGCTCGGCACAATGTTGGCACTCGTCGACCATTGCAGCTTTCGACGACTTGGTGCCCCTGCCAACTGATGCTCCTATAGATCAGGTGCGCATCTACACGTATGCCACAGCAGGAGGCTTCAAGCATGAAGGTGAGCGTTCGAACCCAGCATGGGCATGTTGTGTGCTTGTTGTGACAGTCATGGGTCTCTCACTTGTTGGCTTCATGGCAGGTCCGTAAGAAGGCTGGGACGCTTCTGCCACGCGCGCCCCAGTACGAGCAGATGGAAGCGGCCATTTCGACCACAGCTTGGTTAATGCAGGCGTCCTCGCTCTTTCGCCAACCCCTAGTATGCTTCTACACAGATAACATGGACGTGCTTAGATTGTACACGGGAGCATCTGAGTACATACACGGGCATATAGCACATCCATGGAACGAGTGTGTCGACACGCTTGCTAGGTTTGCTGCGATGCGTATCATACCTGAGCATACCGAGCTGCCATGGAGACATGCGCTATCACAGGGTAGACACAGCACAATTACTACATGGTCATGGCTGGCTTACGCTGATCCGACTACCCACGAGGCCTACCCACCCGACCACGGTACGCCTCTCCCCACGCCCGATGCTCCGGTCACCACCCTCCAGGTCATCATTCCCCTGCCTCGGAAGCCCCCAAGAGGGCGCAAAGCTCTTGCCTGGGGTTGGTTTGCCATTGCCAACGTCCTCTCTCTGGACCCTCGTGCTTTCAGAGGCCAAAGGGAGCTCAGACCAGATGCCAGGGGTTCAACGCCACAGGGCGCATGATGCAGCTCGCGGGGCAGTTCTCGCAGAGGACTCACTTTTTGGTTGGATCGGTCGAGACCCGCCTCCAACGTACAGGAGTCTCCGAGCTAGGTCGGTACTACTTGATGCACGCTCAGGCTAACGACTCCAGAGGTGAAGAATGCACACTTTGGGTCAACATGCATTGGGGATACCAACCAGGATACACAGTGCAACCTTCGAATTTGAAGGTTATGCGTG